ATGCTGTTTCCCAGAACCATATATAACTAGTAAGATATAATTTAAAATATTTCAAATCAAAGGCATTTCAGTTATTTATCTACAGACAAAATTATAAAATATTATTTTCCAAAAACTACGATCATATAATCTGGGTTGGTTGGTTTTGGCCAAGATTAAATATATGACTGGTAAAAGATGACCTTTTGTAATTGTTTTCTTCAAAGGTTCCTAATTTTATTCAGAATTTAGTTTAAATGTTTAAAATTGAAGCTGTTCTGTGTTGCAAACACAGCTAAAATGAAGAGCAAGCAGGAGTGACCAGATTTTAAATGCAGGTAGATCAATAAAAAAAAAAAAAAAATCAAGCATAGGCTCCATGTGTGAGTGGAATGGTTTATAATAGCTTGCAAATGACTATGTGCTTGCTGTAACCAGCTGTTCTTAAATTATGAATATGCAACCAATTCATGTTAAAGCCAAATCCCAGCACTGTTTCTACAGAGAAATCCCAGTAGTTTTGCTTGTTCTACATGTTAGCTCTGTTAAGGATACAAATAGCAGTAAGCTTCCGAACAAATAGGACCAAACTATTGGCATTTCATGCTCCAGGTCCATTATCACAGCAGGGAATGTCAATCATTGGTACATTCCTATAACAGCTCAGACAATATGACAATAATCTTGTAGAAAAAAACCCAAAATCTCTGCAGTATACTCAAAGTCCTTCTGACAACCTAAGGCTTTCTTACTATAGCCAATCAGATTGTCAGACCTGACCTACTCGAAGACTTGCACCAAGCTTGAAACATTTTAAAACATCAATCATAAAAACAAAGACAGGACATTGAATTATACAGTATTAACCTCCAGGGTTTGCATACAAAGACCTTAGATTTATTTATGTCCCAGTGAGTTAAGAGCTTCAGTACACTGTTCTTTACACCAAACTGACTGCCAATTTGATGAACCTCTCTACCCTCAGCAGGAGTGCACCGTCTTTGATTAATGAGTGCATGTTTGTGGAAAAGTGTTAAGAGGAGAAAACAGAAAAAACACAATTATGTCTACACACAGCTGAAGTACCAATGAAATAATTATTTTCAAACCAAATATTTCTTTTTCTTATATGTATTTGTACGCATGTGAACAAATAAAATCAGTAAAGATTTTTTATCTATATATCAGATTCATTATTAGTGTCCCAATAGTTAAATTATTTTTATTTCAATGAAAGGAATTCAAAAGGTAAGGTACAAGTCAAGTTTTATAAATTGTAAAAACTATTTAAAAGCATTTTATTTTAAAAAACAAATTAAAATTATATAGTAAAAATTTAAATAGGATACAAATATTTTCACTTCATATTCTCATAAAAGCCTATTAATTTTTAAAGTTCAATGTTTAATTTACAAATATCTAGACTAGTAAATGTTTTACATCAAAAATTTTATTATGACATGCCACAAATCAAATACCACTCAAAACAGATTTCAAAATTGTGTAAACTCATTTTATTTCCCTGCTTTCAAGAGATTCTGCTATTTTATAACTCCATATGCAGTTATAAATGAATTAAATATATTTATTACCCATAATTTCAACATTCATGTTCAAAGAGAAAAGTTTATGATCAAAGTATAAACTTTGTATGACGTTTTTGTTCAGAATTACCTTCCTTTAAAATACTCAAGGCTGAAAATTTCCACTTAAGTTCTAGGGTGCTTATTAGCATTACATCTCTATAATAAACTAAGAATTGAGATTTCTTTATAGTTTATATTTAACATAAAATTCAATTTACCACATTTGGCTTATATGATTATCTGTCTTGATGCAAATATTAAATGAGTAAATATATTTCTTAAAAATTGAGTCGTAGTCTAAGGTAACCGATTTCCTTTTTAAGGAGTTGTACGGTTATTCACAAAAAGGTTTGAGAAGCATACTACCTGAATATAAATCTTAGTTTTACTAACAGTAACGTAGGACCTACTTAAAAGAAAAGTGTCTTCATAAACATGATTTCAGGATATCATAATTCTGGAATCACTCAGAGATATAAATGTTAAACATCTGTCTATACTATATAGGAAGTTCTTTTAATAGAAATAACCTCAGCAAATTATATATTCTGACCACCAATTTCACATTTTAAGTATTTTTTTATAAAGCAAACTCATTTAAATGTTTAAATTTTATGGTCCTTGAAGAACTGTTAAATATCTAATTACTTAGTGATCTAAAAATATTAAAAATTAATATTGGGATTTTAGAAAAGGGCTCAATACAGTAATAAACTACAGTAAGATATCACCAGATTTCTTATCATCCTAAAGATTTTTTATACAATTTTTTTTAAATGTCTTTGTCTATTAGGATTGTTACTCTTTATTCTTCCTCTTTGTTCTTTCCCATCTCTCCTATCAGTAACAAAACTATGCAAATAATTAAGAGAAAGTACAAAACATTTAGGCATAGGCACCAGTGGGATAATGACACCATTTTAGTACTATAGGATGATAGGTAAAAACTATCAATAATAGTTATTTTAGAAATAAAATATAATTTTAACTTAAAAATCATTAAATGACAACTAGTAGAATAATTTAGAGATTGTGTGAATTTTTAAATAACAATTTGGCCTTGTTATAAATGAAAATTTAAAAAACTATTTCCCCAATAATTATTTTTTCTTCCGATTATTCCTACAAGAAAGGTTGAAAGAAACATTAAATGAGGCAACATTTATGAAATGAAGCATAATATTTTAAAGAACTTATGGTATAAAATATTTAAATTTATGTAATCAAAAACTTCTTAAAATACCCAATTTGATTAAGCCCTCTGAAAATCAAGTATATTAATCACTAAACCTTGATGACATAATTTCATTTAAGGGTCAAAATCACTATTATTACTTTGAGCAAAATCATATTCTTTTGGTAGTTTTAAGTGAGACTAATTTTAAAAATTCAAACTTAAAACCCATTTCATTGAGAGATCTTGAAATCTACAAGTAATCAAGTTCTAACATATACTTTCACTAATTCAAGGAGGTAAGACAGAAATCAGTGAACTTTCCTGCAACTGTAATATCCTACATCTTGTGTAGTAACACAAAAGTAGCAACAAAGACATTAACAATTGCAGTTCAAGCTGGGAGTGACTGTTCTGTTTCAATTCAATGACACCACTAATGGCTTCTTAGCAGCTCCATGAAATCAACCAGCTGTCAAGTTGATGCATCAGAAGGAACAGTTATGCACTCCCATAAGAAAAAGCAACACATCAGGATGTTTGGCAAAACATCTGCTCCTTTACACTGCAGTTCTATAATAAACATGCAAACAAAGAAATGGGAGAAAGGGCAACAGAATTAAAATTTCAAGGTTTCCATTACAGTGTTATATGGATTTTAAATGGATGACTTATTAAAAATGTTTAAAACATTTCTACACAGTTGAATACTTTTATTCTATTTTCTTCAAAAATGCTAAATGTAATTAAAAACTCAGATTCTTCTAGAAAGGCAAAAACTACATTTTTAAAATTCAGAGTAAACTGTATTCATCAAGTAAAACCAGTATGTTATAGTCAAAACCTAAAAGCTAAAATGTATCCTTTTATTTCACAATGTCAATAATATTGTAACAAATGCATTTTCAAGACTGAACAGTCTAAAAATATTTTTTCACTAGTGTTTGAAAGAGTAAATGTTGCTATAATTCAGTACTAATTTAACATATAACAACAGCAAAAGTACTATTATCTAGATTTTAGAATATGTACCTACGCCTCTTTCTCTTTATAAATGAACTTAACAGTATTCTCATAATTTCCTGTTTTTAAAGCATACAATGATTCCCTGAAAAAAGACTGTCATAAACTTAAAATGATTTTACCTTTAACCACTGATTTCAAATATTTGTAAAATCTTATTTTTACTATCTCAAACATACAAGTGCCTTAACATTCTAAATTATTGACTATTCAGCACAGTGACAATAATATGTAGTGTTTACAATAGGTGTGAAACATCAAATATACTTAACTACCATTTTCTTAAACTGCTTATCCTCTGTTGCTTGCCATTTATAATCTGCCAAATCTTCTAGTCCTTTGTTGCATGTATAATTTAGAACCATCTGTTCTATGTGCTTTTAACTATTTAAACATTTTTCACCTACCTACAATTCACATAAATGGCAGACATCAATTCAGTCAACCTTTCCATACAGAATTTTACATAAAGCCAATTTCTGGATAAATAGCAGATAACACTAAAAAAAGATTGTTACAGAAATTAAAAACATACTGTTTACCAGGTAAGTTTTTATATGTTAGACAAACCTTTTCAATGTATTAAGAATGGTTTCTGTTAGTTTTTTTTCAGTTAATTGTAGTCAATGTTTTTCCCCAACCAAGAAGACAAAGAGAATGCAAATTAAATAGTTTCATGTCCTTGTTAGAGGAGATGTAAATATGCTGACTGAAAATGACTACAGGAGACAGAATTCCACTTTCCCATTCAATTTACAGTGCCTCTTATTTATATACTAGTCAGTGAGTGTATCATTAAGTTTGGTCATGTGATCAGCCCAACTTTTTTGAGATGAAAACTATTTTACACAAGCAAATTAAAACAATATGAGTTTTTATTGCATTTTTTCATAATGGCTGATGAAGTCTGTAGCTAAAGATAATAAATTATCTTTTAAAATAAATTCTGCTTTTTGTACACTAGGCTACATTTTGTCAATTATTTAATATTATCTACTACTAAAATTCTTATGTACCTAGTACTCTGAGGTATTTCCAGTAGGTCCATTTTTCAAGATGTAAATAAGTATTTAAAAATAGGTCACTAAATTACAAAAGGGGGACTAAGTAATCTAAGTAATGTATACGTAAATATTAACTATGCTAATTAAAGAAAAACTCACAGGAGAGCAAATAGGAAAGGGAATATGATGATTACAAATATACCTGAAAGCTTAAAAAAATAAAAGCATACAAAATCTAGGTGACTAGCAAATGACCCAATAAGTTTATATCATTTTTTGCACATGATCTTCCACCTGTTACCAAACATAAAATGTGCAGATTTTGCCTGTTCATTTTAGAATAAAACAAAAATATGCCGCACCATTGATCATTAAGCTGTAAGTTTCACGATCCTTTAAAACGGGGGAAATTGAGCAAAAATACTACTTTTGGCAAAATTTCTCGATTGAGTTTATATGACGTCACTGGGCCCCCTGAACATTTTCTAAACTTTGAGCCTTATCCATAAACGCTTTTTGGCGTTCTAAGGCTTCTCTCCCTTCCTTAAAAATAAAAAAACGGAGACTTGGGAATAAAAATTGCCCAAGATGGCGAAACGGTTGTTGTTTAGAGGGCAGGGGAAAAAATGGAGGATATTGTAATATACACAAAGGGATAAATTTCAACAACTCGGCCAAGGACTGCAGCTGCTTCTCTCTTTTTAAGGAAGCAAAACACAAAAGATAAATACAGAGGGAGAGAGAAAAGAGAAAATCTCCCAAACAGCAGGGCCAGCTCCTACTCTCCAAACACTTCCTTTTCGAAATGCCAATTCTGGGGTTCTTGGAATTACTTTAAGGGGAGGGGAGCCGAGAAAGCGGGGCGGGGGGACACGATTAAAAGAGGGAAGCAGAAGAGTTGAGAGCTGGCGGCCGTTCCTGGGGGAAAAACTACTAGATGAGACATTACTGTAGGAAAAGCAAAGCTTCTCACACCTCCTGCGTCCAGACAGACCTTCCCAGGTACCCAGAGCCTTTCCCAGTCCCACCTGCCCTACCCCCACCTACACCTCCGCTCATTTTTCGTAAACTCCAGAGCCTCAAGCCACACAAGGCAAAAAAAAAAAAAAAAAAGAGGCCCAAAAGCGGGGGAGGGGGGACACGCAGCTAATCAGTCCTAGAGGGAAGAGGGGGCGGAGGCAGAAAGGGTAGCAGTAGGCGGACGGGGTGGGGGTGGGGGTGAGGGGTAATCTCGAAACTACCCCGGCGGGGAGTGGGGCAGGCGGCGGATATTCTGGGGTAGGAACGGCGACTGCACCGGTGCCAGGGGTCGTTGTTAAGAAGCATAACTGTTGGCGGCGACCTGAGCGCAGGGAGTCCGAGGGAAGAAGGACGGCGCCGCGAAGCCCGGCGGCCGAGAAGGGCGGCCCGCACAAAGGAGGCGGACGCGCGGCGGCTGCCCGGCCGGGAGCGGGCCGTGGCCCTGCTAGACCGAAGTCTCGCACAGACAGCTAGGCATAAAGTTTACGTCCTCCAGAGACCGACCGCACCCCCTACTTCCCACACAGGACCGCACCTCTCCGCGTCCTCCTCCCCCAAACTCCACTCGGGACCCCAAGAGCCACCCCTGCCTTCCAGCCAGCACAACAAAGAGACACACCGACCGGCGAGGGTAAACAGCGGCGCCTGGGCGAGCAGGGCGGCAGGGCGAGCGCCTCCGAGAGCAACTCCGGAGTCCTCCCTGCTCGCGGGAGCGTAGTTTCTCCTTTTCTTTCTACCAGCTTCATAACATTTGGAATTTTTCATCTTCACCCGCTCCCGTCACACCCGAGGATTTTTAACTCACCTTTACTTTCGAAGTGAGAGTTGCAGTAGATGGGATTTTTGCCTCACCCAGATGGTTGAAGGTTAAGATTTTTGAACTCCCTACCACCCACCTCCTTATTTCTCTTATAATTTCTGCAAGAAAAGTATAAAGAGAGTTGGAGTGGAGGTGAAATTTGTGATCGGGAAAGACCTCGACTCCCTCCTTCTCCGTCTTCCGCCTCTCTCTCTCTGATTAGTTCCTATCCAGCAGCAGATTGAAGCAGGAGATGATTCTTCTCAAGGTTTGTTCAGCAGCTTCACTTCTAGGCGAAGGCTTCATGAACCAAGTGACGTCAACCAACAAGGCTTCTCTCTCTCTCCTCTCTCTAACAATGAAAGTTGCTGTTAACAAGGGAAAAGGAGAGAGAATTGTTTATACCATTTCAGTTCCAATAATAAATGACCTATCAGCTCCTAAAGAAGCCAAGGGAGGGGGTTGCTTCTTCCCTCCAAGAACACTGTAGCTGAGTTTGCACCGATCCTTGTCCCAGGAAAAAGTTAAGAAACTTAAATGTTTTGTTTTGCTTTTAGAAGAGGACAGAAAACAGGGTTGAAAACTTAATTGTTAAAAAATGTAAACTAATAGTCACTATTGGTTAACCATTTTCACTTAAACTTTTTATGTTTGCAAACTCAATTCTGTTGAAGTCTACAAACCAACTAAATTAATATGCCAAGAATTTGTGAATGTTAGGACTAAAGAGCAGGTCGCAAGATGGTCCCAGGGTAAAATGCTATTGCCTTCCCATGGACAAGTTACACTGGCTGTAATGTTTATGCACTGAGCTAAAATAAAATCTAAAAAAGGACGTTAAAATAGCAAATCGGTTTAAAGTTAAATTTACAAACTAAGCAGTAATGTCGATCGTTTTGTTTTCCAGATTCTGAGAGGTTAAGAAACGGATAGATAATTGTAGGAACTGAACAGTTTTTTTAAATCAATTTGAATAAAACCGGTAGCGCACTAATTCCATCTTTAAACTATACACGCGGTATGTATTTGACCCCCAGCGTCTCTTCCAACTTTTTTTTAACGTTCCACCCCTCTAATTCCCATATCTTGCAACCAATCAAGTTAAACGAAGGTAAAATGTACCCTATTCCTTTCCACATACCACTCCAGTTTTCTAAAACTACTTTTAAAAAAACTATTATCCATGAAGACATGTTAACTTTTAAATTTTTTCAGTGAACTAGTTCTTTCCTTAAGAACATGTTAAAGTCTCAAAGTTCATATAAATTACATAATGCATAATTTAATTTTCAGGATGAAGAGCAAGTGAAAATTAAGCTATGGGAGAACAACTTAACCATACATGTTATATTTATACATACATATGTGGGTAAATGTATCTTAAAAGATGCTATTGTTTTATGTTTCCTCCTCAACCACTGGCTGTGATTTTAATTGTGCTGGAGGATCTTCATTAGTATTAACACATGGGGAGATTTCACAAAGCTGCTTCATTAGGAAAAAAAAAGCTGGCAGACTAGGTCTTTTTGCATGCACTGAGAATGTCAGCCTTACCTCGGTCATTTGTAACATAATAAGTGCAAGTACAATGATTGCAATGCAGGAGCACTGGGGGAAGGGCAGAAATACTGCCTGTCTAGCAGGAATAACTGAAAAGAAGGCTGCTCATTACACAGTAAAATGTATGCTAAAAATTAGTGAAGATGATGTCTCAGGAGACTGATGCTAAATAAATTAATGTGCTGATATGTTTTTAATTATTATTTTTGTAGTAGTTTATTTCATTCTCAGGATTCACATTGAGCAGCAAAGCTTATTGATTTTTTTCCCTGCCACATTCCCGGAATACAGATTTTAATCATTTCACTACACCACACTCAGTAATTTCATTAAAAACTGGAATCTTCTATCCCCAGAAAAGCATTTAATTTCAATGACATACAATTTCTCTTTTAGCAGCAAACTGTCTCTACAGTAAAAGCTGGCCTAAGGTTCAAATGCATAATTTAATCCTGAGTTTTCCATGCTCTGCATTCCTTTCAGGCTATAATTTGAGTAACTACCTAATAACTGTAATAAGGATAATAATTTCCTTATAATATATTATTAACTTATATTTAATTAACTCAGAGGCCAAGCTCCATACGTGTATGACTGGGTCAACAGTTCTACAATCTCAAAATTTACTAATAATGTTCCAGAAGAAAAATGTAAGTATGAATGCTACCACTTAGACTTTAATCCCAAGTCATAACACAAAAAAGTTCTATTATTTTACAATTGTCATTACTCAAGTAAGATTTTTAAGTATTTGGAAGTAATGTAATTCAGTAATCTTTCTGTACATAAAATATTAGGATACTGATATTTTAACATTACTGACACTCCCTAATCATTTGCATTGTTATTGGTACTTAATTTTGAAAGAATAAAAGGTTTGGTTTCAAAGTGTCTTGATTTTGATAAAGAATTTTCTTGAAATACATTTCTCTTGAAATAAAAATAAGTGGCACACTGTAATGTTAGTAACTAACAGTATCTTTTCCTTAAATATTTTGTTTAAATATTTCATAAAATATGGTTCAATTTTTTGTTCCAGTAATTTTAAAAAAACTTAGGTTTACAGATGACACACTGGTTTCCCAAACAGTGCGTTTCATAAGGATATGTAATTTACATTGCCTAGTTTGTTTTTATTTTCTTGTGATCCTGGGAATTAAACCCAGGGATACTCTACCACTGAGCTACATCCCAGTGCTTTTTTGTTTTTATTTTGAGACAGTCTCTTGCCAGATTGCTCAGGCCGGCCTTGAACTGCAATCCCCTGGGCTCAACCACTGAAGTAGTAGCTGGCATTACTTGTGCCTGGAACATTGCCCATTTTTTAAAGAAAAAAAAATCCGGTGGAGAAAATTTTTTCAGTAAAATTCATGACTTCAAATTGTGGAAATATGCCTAATAAACAGGAAAAATGGTACCTACTTAATGATAGTTTTTTGGGGTTTTTTTTGGTACCGGGGATTGAACTCAGGTCCTTGTGCTTGCAGGGCAGGCAACGGAACCACTGAACGTAAGGATAGTGATTAGCTGCTATATAAAAAATCATCCCCTTCAGTGATTTTAGAACCACAGTTCAAAATTTTTTTGAAGATTATGTATATGTAATTTTTAAACTGAAGCACCCTACAACACAGCTTTCTTTTCCTTGATTGTAAGATGAAATGAACAAAGCCTGGCCATTATAAAAAGTTGGAACAAAGTATAAAAGTGGTAACAGTGAATAAGTACTTGATTTTAATGGTTTTTGGTTTTTTAGGGTTTTGTTTTGTTTTGTTTTTGAGACAGTGTCCCACTATGTAGTTCAGGCTGGCCTCAAACTCACTATGTAGCCCAGGCTGGCCTTGAACTCACTGCAATCCTCCTGCCTCAACCTCACCAGTATTGGGATTACACATGTCCGCCACCATGCCCAGCTTGTTTAATGGTTTTTTAAAAATATTAGAAAACTATATTAGCATAAGGGCTCTTTGTATAGTTTGGGAAATGTTTTTGTGACATTCTCAAAGATGAAATGAAATTAAATGGAAATCAGTAACAAAAGAGTTGGAAAGTGAAAAATACACAGATATCTAAAATGTGTAAGTGAATATATTTTAATATTTCAATAAGTTTAATTTTATATTAAAATATAGCTTCAAAAGAATTTAGTGCTATCTAGTAATTCAAATACATTAATTATGCAACTTGATCTATACTTTTAAACTGGTTTTTGAAAATAGTATACTAGAAATTTTAAATTATTTTAAGACCCTCTTACTAAGAACTCTGCTTAAATTGTTTTTTAATATTATTTCTTCTCTTTTTAAATGTTACCACACTTGATCATTTCAAAGATTAGAACATAATCAGAGTTAAGAAAATCAAAGAAAATAATTACTAATTATAAAATAATTGGCTAGCAGAGCATTCACATTTTCACATATTAGAGATACCTCATTTACTACTATGGTTATTGTCAATGGTTCCTCAAAGAGTAAGGAACTGCCATATATAGAACTAAGTCTCAGAAGGCTGACTACAAAGAAATACAAACAAAAGATCTCAATAGTATTAACAAGCTGGCCACTGTCATATCTTGTTTCAGTTTCAGTCACTACAGACTAATGAAGCTTTATTTGTTTTCATTCATTGAATAAATATTTGGGTGCTTACTGTACTCTAGCAACTGTGCTAGAGGCTGAAATAAAACATGAAAAACTCTTTCTGGTTGATACTGAAAGTGTGACATAGCTAAGAGATTAGAGACTGATATAAATCACATAAGGATATAAAGTTTTATAAAAATAAAGATAGCCAACTAATTCTGATTGGGAGACTATAAAAAGTTTTATCAAAGTGATGTCATTTGAACTGCATCTCAATACTGAGAGCTAGTGCAAGGTCCCAAGTTCAATCCCCAGTACCAAACGCAACAGTCAATACTGAGAGTTTATCAGGCAATGAAAATAGGGATTTCGAGCGGGAAAGAAACCACAAATATAAATTAAGAGAAATGAACCATAAGTGTAAATATACAAAGCTACTAGGTCTTGTGGCCATCCACTAGTGAGAAATTCAGTGTAACAATATTCACCATGAGGGACAAAGGGATAACAGGGATGTCATGACAGGGATGAGGCTGGGACCAAAGAGTGAAGCATAATATGCCATGGGACAGTATTTGAATTTGTCCTGAGAGGCAACAAAGGTTAGCAAAAGAGTAATGTGATTGACCTACATTTGAGGGAACAATGACTGCATAGGAAGTCCAAATGATAGACTGTAATATGAAGAGATTGTTTAACAATCCATGAGAAAGATGGTAAAAGATAATGGCATTGGAGATTTACAGCCAGATATTTTGAGGTAAAATTTCATTTTGGTGACAACTGCAAACCTTTGAGGAGAGGAACAACTTAAGCAGTAATGGGGGCTGGGGATTTAGCTGAGTGGTGCCACCTCCCCTGCCTTGCAAGCGCAAGGTCCCAAGTTCCATCCCCAGTACCAAAGAAAAGGAAATCATTTTGTGGCCAGGTATTTAGCTCAGTGTTTCTGCTGCCTACCTTGCAAGGTAGGTCACACAAGGTCCTGGGTTCGATCCCCAGTACAAAAAAAAAAGCACTAATGGGATTTCTAACAGAAAACTGAGTTAGTGCTAGTCATTAAGGTCCAGAATATATAAGGAAAAACAAATCACAAGGTAGTCTGGAATTAGAATTTCATACTAAGTTCTATAGGTCTTTTACAAAATGGGGTTAAGGGCCAGGGATTTAGCTCAGTGGTTCTGGCGCCTGCCTCGCAAGCACGAGGACCCAAGTTCAATCCCTAGTACAAAAAAAAAAAAAAAAAATGGGGTTAAAACTCTTTCAAATTGTATATACCTAGGCCCAGTATTTCTCATCCATCCTGCCTTCCCCCCTCACCACAAAGGTGCTTCTGACAAATATTTCTTATTAAGAACACTGCCACATGCACAAATTGATTATAAAATTCATTGGGAAACTAAAATAAGCACAGAAACATCTTGAAAAAGAAGAGTTAGGGGCAATATCAGATATTGAATTGTTATAAAACCCTTATAATTTAATTGCTAACAACTGACATGAGGAAAAGGCCAATAAAACACAACAGAAAATTGAGAAATTGACCTACATGGACATAGAAATTTACTATAGGTAAAAGGTATATCCCAAAGCAGTGAGAAAAAGACTTTTTGTAAGTATCTGGATCTGCACCAAAAGAAAATTTCAAAAAGATCAAGTATTTAATGTAAAAAATACACCACATAAGTAATGGAATCACTAGATAAGTTCCTCAATAACTAGAAAATAGGGAAAACTTTCCTAGCAACAGTCAAAATCAGATACAATAAAGTAAAATATTGGTAAATCCCACTACATAAAATACAACGCTTTATACAGCAAAAAAAAAAAAAAAAAGCACTACAGGCAAAGTATAAAATGATAAACTATAAAAAAACACTTGTGACATCTATATATGAAAGAATTTAATAACTTTATACATAGTTTCTAAAAAGAGAGAACAAGATCAACCTGATAACAAAATGACAAGAGATATAAACACGTTTTAGCAAAAACACAAATACTCCTTAAGTAAAAACATTCACAACCCTATAATAAGAGAAATGAAAATTAAGAATTGCTCAAATACTATTTCTCATCCATCAGGTTGGCAAGAATCCAAAGTTTTACAACACAGCCTGTTAGGCTTTGATGAGAAAAGGTCCTCTCCCTTTTTTCTTAGAGTACAAAGTGGAAGAACCTATCAAGAGATAATTGGGCAGTATCTAATAGTTATATTTTTATTTCTTGAGTAATAACTCACATTCAAGAATCTGACCAACACTGGCAAAAATATGAAAATAAATACAGAGAAAGTTATTTGTTGAAGCACTGTTTATTACAGAAAAGGCCTAGAAATAAGGCACATGTCCATCATATGGTAATGGATGAATTAACCATAGTAGGGCCACACAGTGGAGTACTATACAATTTTTGAGAAGGAATAAGTGACATGTGGTATGAAACAACAGTGAACTTCACAAAGTACTATTAAGTGAGTACAACTTAAGAGAAAAACATGTAATTTGGTGGATTAACTAATGGTCAACGTGGAACACCCAGCTGAACTGAGTCAGTGTGGTTCTGGGTGTGGAAGACCCACCTGAGGATTGTTGCCAGTGGCATAAAAGAGGAACTACAGATTATATGCTGTTGATTTTCCTGGAGAAGCTTGCCACAGCTGGTTTTCCTGATAAGAACTTGGCTTTTCTTGTCATCAGAGGAGCTTGGGTCCTTACTGTCACCAAGGATGGCTGCTGTTCTCTTCAGGGGATCTCCAGTCTTTGCCCTAAGCGCTGCTTCCTGGCTCCAGTGAAGATCTCTCAGCCTGGTGTCCCAGATCCTTCACCGCACCAGTGCACATATTCTAGCTTTCACCACTGGCCTTTGGGCCTTCCTAGTACAGATCCTTGATATGGACTTGCATGAGACATTGCTATGGCATTAGGCCTCTGGATGGACTCTTGGAAGACATGGATTCTTTGGGTCTCTAGCATGTGGACAGATCTCTTGCAGTTCTCTGCATTTGACTTTTTGAGTGAATATTATAAAATAATACTATAAAGAAGGTCCTGAGTTCAATCCCCAGTACCGCAAAAAAAAAAAAAAATCCTATAAAGTATGTGTCCTGTATTTAATCTATTCCCTTGCAAACCCTGATTGTAACATATAGTATCCCATCAATATATTTACCTATTCTTTTCCTAAATGAAAGGAAAAATTAAAACCTTTAAAACTATGGTCAACCTATAAAGAAGAAAGGAGTAAGGTAGTAAAAATAGTATGTGGGGGGGTCTCAAAATCTGTTTAGTATATGGGGCTTTGGAACTA